TCTCCAGGTCCAGCCTGCCCTCCTGGTACTCATGAAATAACCAGATCACAGACTTTGCAGTTTAATCCCTACTGATTTTCTCTTAAATAAAGATCTTGTTACAATAAACAAACAGCAGTCATAGTAATAAAGTCTCTATTGTTAAGACTCAGTTTTCCTGTTATATATTACAAAGATCTACAATTTTAAGTACTCAAGCTTCAATTTAGTTGTGTTTGTTAAGGAAACCAGAAGTGCTTTATGTACGTTTTGTAAAATTTTAAGATTTTAACTTATGTAGGTACTCCATCCAATTTCCTTTGATCATAGCACAGTTTCACCATTTTGATAAGGCAGATGGAAAACAACATCTAATTGTGCTCCATCTAAAACTTGTGGAACAACGAAAAAATTCCACCCCAGTGGAATTCCTGATTGAATTACTGAAGACAACATTTTAAAGTTAAGGAATTGTCATGACTCTCTTTACATGAATTTAAACAACTTAGCTGGAACCAGTTTTTGAAATGGTGCAATCCAAACACATTTTAGCCATTTCAAATCTTACAGAAGATATGACATAATCAAATGGAACGGTTTCTATATTACACTTTCCCTCACATTTAAGAAAAAATGTTTACTACAACACAATTTCACAGTGATGAGAAAGGTGGAAAATATAGTCTACAGAAGCAACTCAAATAACTTTATTATCTGAAATGTAGGCTTGCTTTGGGCAGGATTAGACAACTTCATAAGCATGTCAGCAGATAGCTGAACCTTGCAATTCTGTGACTGATGTCACTGAAGGATGTGCACTAGTGTTAGCTCCATGGTAAAAGGGAAAGTTCTGACATGCAGGTCAGTCAGGACATTTTGAAGGCTTTGATGGTTTTTATAAGGGCTTTGAAATATGCAGATGAATACAGGAGAAAACATGGAGGTTTTAGTAAAATGATACTGTGGGCTAGGTAAAGGTGACAGTCCATATTGTGACTGTGAACATGAGCTGGTAGGCACGATAGGGGTAAAATGTGAAAGGGATTTTTTTCTTCCCATGTGAAAGAGAAGCAGGATGTAATTAATGCAAAAGAGAAGTAAGAGGAAGACTAAGAGATCCACAACATAATCCAGAGCAATCCTTTCTGAAGGCTTCTGAGTGTGTTGAAGTGGGAAAAGACTGCACATGTGGAGTTCAGAAGGAAGAACAATTCAGTATCCTCATCCAAACAGGAGGGGAAGGAATGTGTCCATGTGGATGGACAGAAGAGACACATATGATTGCAGAACAGTGTTGAGATAGGCAAGCCACATTTTAATGAATGAATATACCAGGGATTTGTAGGGAGTTCAAAACATCTTCTTCCCAGCAACAAAACAGGGAAGGGAATAGTCATGTTCCTTGGCAGTTGGGAGATTTCTTGCCAACCTGTGGGCCAGACTTGACTTGAGATGCCCAGTAAGAGATCAGAAATGAACCTGCAAGATCATCAGCCAGTGCAGAAAGCTACAGTAGTCTCCGTGTGAACCCAAAAGTGATGCCAGGAGATCAGATACCTATCCACAGGTGGAGTCAAGGTACTTCAGACTGGATAACAGAAGGGGCCTGGGTGTGAAGTGGTGAGGAGCATCTGAAGCCTGGCTAGTCCTTCTTGGGCAGTTCTGCCTGTGCAGGTGAATGACCTCATGTTAAGTATACGATAACTGGTAGCCATAAACATGGGAGTAATCAGTTATCATGGAGAAGAGCTTGTAGTACTGTCACTATATAAATTTTTATATAATTTATGGCAGTACATAATGGACCCTTCCAAACTACTACAATAATTTTTGAAGAGAGAATTTTATCTTCATATGTGATGTCTTGAAAATTAAAAATATATAATTGATTATTATACATAGGAAAACATTTATTTTGAACCACGTTTGCAAATATTTGTAAAGGAGATCTCAGACTGAACAAATTTATTTATTATGTTGCTATTTCTTTGTGAAATGTCAGATGTAAGCAGAACTATTTCCTTGCCAAAAAACATTTGGTGCATAAAATGTTAGCTGGAAAGTCTGAGAAGGAGGAAAAAAAACAAACCCAAATTTTCTGCTATTCTGTGTAAAGACAGACAGTCTTGATTTATTTCATTTTAGCTAAATAATTGTTTTTCTTCACTGTTTCATGTGCAAAGCAAACTGCATACCAAAACCACACACTTTGTATGATTCAGAAGTTGGAAAGAAATAGATGTTACTGCTATTCAAGAACATGAAATCAGCAGGTTGCTTTCTTTTCATTTTGGCAAGATAATAATTCTTATAAATGCTATTTTAATACAGAGCTCTGCCTGTACACACTTTATGTTACAGTCCCACCATATGGTATGTAAAATGCTAGAGTGAACTGAGTCAATTTAGAGAAAAGAAGCTTTATTGTGCCTCATTTTCTTTTAAATATGAATAAAGGAGAAAATTATAATAGACATGAAGCTGCATCCACATATATTTCTACATTTAATTCTAAAATTTATTCTGAAGTTGCTCTGTCTCCTCTGTGACATGGTCTTGCTAATAATGTCTGATAAGTTAAATCAAATCTACATATAATAGGATTGGAATAGCAGAATTATTTTAACTGCCTGCAGAACTAAATATTTATCTCACAAGCAAAATAAAATGTTCACTTTTCTATAAGAAGCAAGTCTGCTTATGTCTTGAGACAAACTACATGGCAATATAATAAATCCTGAATGCTTAGGTGAAAGTTGTTCAAAATCACAATCCACATGACTTTGAAAGACATGGTTTAATGGAGAAACTGTTGCAGCCCATGGCTGGTATACCTCTTTCAGGTACACTGGAAGAGAGATAAATTTAAGTATGTTTGAGTAATTATCTCAAATAGCAATATTGTATGGTTCAGAATAGAAAATGTACACACCTACCTCTCTCCTCTACTGCTTGAGCATCCAAATGAACATAGATTATGTATCTATGGAAAGATAAAATTACGGTTTTTAAAAATGTGTCACCCATCCCCTTTCATTCTACAGCTAAATATGCACATCCTCAACATACAGCAAAAATATGGAGCATAAAATTAGGAGTATGTTATCTGTCTATATTTAACAGAGTCAAAGTTTAGAAATTTTATGGGAACATCAAGGCCGTGGCAATAGAGAGCAGCACTGAAAAGACAGCATTTAAGAGTAGTTTGTGCTGAAGCCTTATCAACCACACACCTTTCTGAACTAGGAACAGACGGTAGCATTTTCAGGTCAAATTTTCAAAGATAACACACACAATGCACACAGCACAAGAAGCTGGCTTTCTAGACAGCACTTTAGAAGTCTTCTTGGGAAAATGGTCTGCAAATAAGGACAGGGAGTTGATTACATTTGCATGCGTGCTGCTGCCTCCCACTCACAAAAGGAGCTGCTTTGCATGCAAACCAGCTCCCAGTTTCCTCAGAGCACCGCAGTGGTCTCTCCTACGTGACCTGCTGTGTGCCTGCACTAGATTTGCTCCTGCACAGGATCCCGGAATGCATGGGTGGGAAAGCGTTGCTGAGAGCCCCTCACAAAAAGCAACTCCCTAGGACTCAATCTGCAACTGGGATAGCAAAATCTGCAGGCTGGGATTGCTGATGTGTGGGGTGGCCTAAGGACTGTATAAATTTTAGGACATTTATCTGAACTCCTTTTGAGAGCAAGTCTGGGCTTGTATGCTGGTATTGCACTTACATCTGCCCAGGAGACAAAGTTCTACTAGAAACCTGCAGGACTCAGATGCAAAGTCCTTCTGAGCCTTTTGCAAAGTGAGAGCCTGAATCTAGGCTGAGCCTTGGGGGCTTTGCAGCACACAAGGGCTGGTTGCTCACTGCTAAGGCAAACCAGGCTGCTGCCAAATCTCTTAAAGTGCCTGACATGCCAGGGTCTGGCCCCCCAAGATGTTGAGGGATGCATCCTAGTCTTGCAGGGAAGGTTTGCTTCAAGGAAAGGGCTTCTGCAAGGCTGCTGTGAAACATACTCTGTTGCACATTAGAATTGTTTCAGAGCATCAAATAGATGTAACCTGGTTCTCCTGAAACTAATTGGTAAAAAACCTTCACAACTACTTGATAGATTATTTTTATGGTATTATCTTTAATGCAGAAGAAACTGCTGTAATCTCAAAATTAGCTATTGCGTATTTGAGAAAAATCGGCAGTGTTGTGCCTTACATTGTTAAGTGGAGAGTTTTCTCCTGGAAATGGGCTACTGTGTAAACCATGGTTTTGTAGCTACCAGCAGTAACAAATAACAGTGTTTTCTAAGCAATGCTGGAATTGAAGCATTCCTGTATTTCTAATTGAAAGTCTGACTTTGTTTCCAGAGAATAAGGAGTTCCCAGAAGAGGTGGGTCTGACAAATGCTTTCTGCATAGTACCTTGCTTTGAAAGACAGAATGATGAAACAGTGTCGTTGTTTTTTTTTTCTGCTGGGGCAATCACTCCCCATGATCAAGAGAAGTATGCTGCAAACTGGAAACAAAACGCAGCTGAAATCCTGTGCATATTAAAAGCGAATGCACGAGAGTAAGGATGTTGAAGCGCCAAAAGGCAAACCCATCACTTCGGGGAGCATTGCACACCCCACCCATCCCCACCCCTGCATGCACCGGCGCAGGGAAATGCACTGAAACGTGCAGCAGGTTCCCCGGGGCTCTTGCAGATGCAGCCCCTGCCCTCTCCCTCCCTCCACCCCCCAAGGCTGCTGGGGGAGGCGGGCAGGTAC